TTTCCATCTCCTGGAGAATATGATCTTGTCTGCGTCCGCCGCTTTCCTGGGTTTCGATGAGTGTTCCGGAATGACCGTTCTCCCCTTATATCCGAAGAGGAGATCTGCCGGAGATAGAGCTTCGATATCATCCGCTCCTGAAGCTACCGTAGTTATCGGTCGACTGTTAACCATCGCTTCGATTCCGCTGAGGATTATTTCTAAGTCTCTGAAGTGAGGGACTGCGGATCCTAGGATCTTTCGAAGTGGTCTCTTGATGGTCTGGACCTGCCTTTCGTAGAAGGCTCCGAAGTTCGGTGCCATCGGTACGATGAATTTCCAGGAGATCATCAAGTCTGATAGCTGTTTCTTTATTTCCCCGTTCTTGACGTTCTCGTAAATTAGCTTCAGTTCTTTCGATGCTCTCTGGAAAGACAGACCGTTGTCCGAGGTTATAGTCCTCACTGAGGGGAATCGGTTGATGAATTTTTGTAGTGCTCCTAGGACTTCGACTGTCGATAGATCCGTTGTTAGTTCTAGGTGGACCGCTCGGGTGACTGCGCAGGTGAAAAGGAGGATATATCCTTTTCCGACCTCGCCGGAGTCTTTCTTATATCTTATCGGACCCGTGAAGTCGCACCCTGAGTGGTAGAACGGAGGAGCTTCCTCGATTCTAAATGCTGGCAATGGGGGGGTCGGCAGGCTTGCTGCTTCTGCGTGGAAGATCTTGCATGTGGCGCATGCCTTCACGACCTGGCGAGCAATTTTTCTCGCATGGATTACAAGATATTCTTGTCGGAGATGTTGGAGGATATAGTTTATCCCCCCTGAGTGGAAACACCTCCTCTCGTGGATGTCTTGGACAAGTAGTTTGGATAGACCACAGCTCGCTGGGAGGATGATGGGAAATTTCTGATTGTTGGATAGCCCTGAGGAACGCTCTAAGCGAGATCTACATCGTATGAGACCGTCGGGGTCCATGACCGGATTGTACTGATACAATACGCTCGTACGCCTGACGTTCTTGCATTGATTTTCTGTCTCCTCCCAAAAATATTTTTCTTGGATTAGTCGGAGTAGAGATGTTTTGGCCCTGAGCAATTCTTCGGTATCGAATTGGATACCCTGTTTTTGCGCGGGTTTCCGTTGGAAACTGATTCCCTGAGCAACTCGATCTCTTACATCTTGTGCCTTCTCCATGAGTCTCTGCATGAGAGCCCAAAAGCGAACGGCTTCGAGCCAAGAAGAAAACTTATTCTCGAAGAATATATCCCCTGTGGAGTGTGAGTTGGCCGATGTAGCTGCCATGCAGGAGACATTCTGCCGGCGTTCTGGATCGAATTGTTTCCCGGATGTGTCTCCGAAGACAATGTTCGCGGGTGCGCGCTCGACGTCTGACGTCAGCGATTCCAACCACTGAGGTCCCTTTAGCCATAGTGATCTGTTGTGATCGGAAGAGAGGTCTGCTCCTCTCGAAATGAGGTCGGCTGGATTCTCCTCTGATTTCACATATTTCCAGACGGTCTGGCCGACGAGAGTGTGGATAAGCCGGATTATGTTGGCTACATATGGTTTCCAGCGTTCCAGTTCCGAGTTAACCCATCCTAGGACGCTAGAGTTATCGGTGTATAGATGGGTCGAGTCTATCTGTATGTCCATGAGACTCTTGACTGATGACAGTAGTCGGCTGGCGAGAAGCGCGCCCAGAAGCTCTAGGCGATGGATCGACATTGGCTTGACCGGTCATACTTTAGCTTTCGCCATAACGAAATGAGTCATCGGTTTCGTATTTGCAGAGCTCTCTCGGAGGTAGATGACGCAGCCGTATGCGTTTAAGCTGGCATCTGAGAACACGTGGAGTTCTTTGCGCGAGTTGTCGCCTGTGTTTGAAAGCATGTGGCGGGAGATTGACACTTTGTCCTTGTCGAGCAAATCCGTGAATCTCGCGTATTCTTCTGCGTGCGGGCCATCTAAGGCTGAGTCCCATCCGATTTTCGATTTCCATAGCTTCTGAAGCAATATTTTGGCGTTTATGGTTGTCGGACCAATAATTCCCGATGGATCGAAAATTTGCGCGAGTCCTCTGAGGAGTTTTCTTTTTGAAGGTGTTCCTGATTGGGGTTCGTCAATGGCCTTAGTGGCTGGCACCGATAAAAGATCCATTTGTTGGTTCCAAGGGATCCCTAAGAATTTGCTGTCTAATTGGCCGGTGGATATTGTTGGGGCCTCGACCGGTGAGTGCTTCTTGATGAATTCTCCCAGCTCTGTGCTGTTCGAAGCCCATTTCTTGATGGGCATGTGTGCTTCCTGGAAGATGTCGAATAGGAGCGAAACTTTGTATTTCGCGTTTTCGAGGTTATCACTGCCTAGACAGATGTCATCCATATCGAAAGTGTCGATAATCTCTTGGATGAATTTCCTGTTCTTGGGATGTATTGATTGTGCGTACTCCAGGTGAGAACGCACCCCTTGGCAACGTAGAAATGGGGAGCAGACCAGTCCGAAGCCTAGTCTGGTCGCCCGAAATTCTTTCACTGGGGCTGACCCGTTGGTTGATATTCCCAATGGCCAAATGAATCGTAAGAAGGTGCGATCCTCAGGGGCAATCCTGAATTGTTGGAAAGCTTTTTCTATGTCAGCCGCTACGGCGTATCTGTACTGGCGAAACTTCAGTATCACGTTGATTTTGTTGGGGAGTAGATTCGGTCCCTGATGAAGTACGTCGTTGAGACCGGCTTCGTTTGATCGATTGGCGCTGGCGTCCTTGACAACTCGGGTTTTCAAACCCAGGGGAGATTCCGGGTTCGCCTTGAATACTGCCTGGATTGGCAGGTAGTGAGCGAGCTGGTCGCGTGATCTTTGTTGAGCTGGTTCTGCGAATCCCGCGTTGATGTAGTTCTTGATTTCTTCATCAACCGCCCTGAGCTTGACTGGGTTCTCCTTGAGTTTCCTTAGGAACGAGTA